ACAACACAAGGAGTATTGGTGACACACTGGTTTAAGTGCTCAGTCACAAACCAATAGTTCGGTGGCGTGAACCCACCAGCCACTCCATGGGAAAAAGATATGGTAGTTGTCTTTCGTCAGGATAGCAGCCTTGCAAATCCTATGGGCCAGTTCTACTCTGTTCTAGAAGGTCTCTGAGTTGGAATCGATTCGCAATAACAATAGGGTTCATTTTTAATGGATTTTGTGTATAGCAGGAGTCCCTGGGTGGTGTCCATGGTTCTTGTGCTTGCTAACTGAAAGGTTAGAGGTTCGATTCCACCTATAGATACACTAGAAGAAGAAGGTGGTAACCTACTTCCAAGAAACTCAGCCACTGAAAACCCTTATGTACAGTCTACTCTGGCACACCTGGGGTCAGCATGATTCAGAATCAACCTGACAGCAATTTTGTTTTTTAACTCTTTATTGTGAATTTAGTTTACAGAGCAGAGCATCAGTTTTACATCGAACCAATCACACACTTTGTTTCATCTCAACGATTGCAATCCCCTCCATGCAATAAGAGTTATCACACTTCCTCCCTATGCTACCTATTTCCACTCCACCCTCCTTCCCAACCCCTTTGAACCTTGTCTGCAGGCAAATGTTGCCCTTTTGATGTTGAATGGCTAACCATTCCATGATGAGCATACTAGTGGTGTTCCCCTATATTCCTATCAACTACTTCGTTGGAAATTGGGCCACCAGGATGAGTTCTATTCCAGACCAGAAGAGTGACCGTGGTCCATAATCTTGGGTTCATCCAGTCTCTTTCTGATCAGTAAACCCAGTCTTTTTCAAATAATTTTGAATTTTGTTCCACATTGTCTCCCACTCTATCTGGGACTTTCTAATGTGATCCCTATCAGGAAAGTTGGTAGTTGTAGTCGGACTCTATCGAGTTCTGGTCTCAGAGTCATGGAGACTGATGTTCCCATGTTCCATTAGTCCATTGGACTAACTGATTCCAAACACCTGCAGTTTTCATCACTCTTCTTTCCTCTGCACATGGAGAGACCATTCGTTGTCCCTTATATGGACGCTCATGAGTTTTTAAGACCTAGCAGCTTCTCCCCAAAATAGAATCTAGAATATTGTCTTTGTGGACTGTGTTATGTCAGTTGACCATGGTGAACTGATTTGGTATTTTATTGCTTTGTATATAAGGAGCTCTGGTAGCGTAGTGGTTACGAATCAGGCTGCAAACCGCAAGGTCAGCAGTACAAAGCTACCAGCTATTCCGTGGGAGAAAGATGAGGCTTTCTGCTCCTGTAAAGATTTACAGCCTCGGAAACCCTGTACAGGGTTGCTATGAGTCAGAACCGACTCCATGGCACATAACAACACGACATATATTAAATGCAATAAAATGTGGATCTCCCCTAGGATCTGACCCATGATGCACCATCAGTAAATGATGGTAGCTTAGTAACGTATTTTGGAAATCATTTATTTATTCGTCTCCACAGAGCCTTCCATATGGTTCCAATGAATTCATTTTAATATGTATTTATTGACTTCTTTCAACTAAGAGTCCCCAGTGGTTACAGTGATGGGCCCCAGAGCCTTCATCAAGGAGCTGGCCTGGACCAAGAGACATGTCTTCCAATCATTTCAGCATAAGGTGGAAGGAAATTGTTAAAGAGACAGAGATAGATAACAGGGATGCATCGTGGGAGCCACTTGGCAGGAGAGAGAAAAGTGAATGAGGGGGGAGAGAGAAAGACAGAGAGAGCAACTGGGACGGGGTAACATGTCAACAGATCTCAAGCTGTTAATTATCTGGAGAGAACTAAATATTATGTAGGCAATTATCGACAGGCGTCTGAAAGCAACAATGGTAATACTTGGGCTTCAGCCAAATCCCGTCTCCGTTTGGAGGACTGGGAGAAGAGCTTTAGCATTCTGAGCAGGCCTTGTACGCAGAGGGGGGGAGCGTCTTCCTGGATCGGGGCAGCTGAGGTCCCGTTGCCTAACTGCCCAGCCAATGCCAGCTCAAGCCCTTACCCAAAACACAATACCGAGCTTTGAAAAGCAGCTCTCCCCATAAACCCAGGGCCTGGAAAGCAGGCCTCCTCCCCCTCCTTCCCCCAAGATGTCATCTTTTGAGACGATTTCATGTGGAAGCATCGCTAAGTAAATTCACTGAATGCCTATTCATCCCCGTCAGATGGGGACTCGGTGAAGCGGTAAATGTGAAAATGGCCTCAGCTCTCGGCAATGAAAGGCACTGTCTGGGGTTGCCAAGTGGAGCTGCTGCCGCTGACCCTGGGAGGCCTGCTGCTTTTCAAGAGGGGGCCCCCGGAGCCCGGCCAGCCCTCCAACCCTCCCACTTAGGAGAGGCCCCCATTTATTATTCCTGCTGCCGGGACCCATTCAGAGGTTAACTTGTCCCGTATCCATCAGGATGACAATAATGAACTGTTGCACAGAGTGGCAGAGAGGGGGCTGGTAAACCAGCACTGCTAGGACATGAGATGGAATGGTCCTCTTTCTGGTTTGGGAAGAAGAGTGGCCCTCAGTTTTTAGAGGCTGATTTTGTCTCTGCCTCACTCAGCAGTGAAGCAGGTATCTCCCACACAGGCTCCATGTAGCTCAGTGCCTGGTGCATGTGGGTTTTACCTCGACTTCCTGTGTGTGTGCTTGATGTGCCACAGATTGGAGGGCATTGGCAGGCGCTTCTACAGCTGCTTTTGGATGGGTATTTACTTCCATGATGGGATGAGCCACCGCAGGGCTCATTCTTGCTACAGCATCTCTTCACTGCTCAACACCCCTCCGCTGGAGTCCTGATTGGTCAACCTGAGTCATCCAATCACAGAGCAGGGGCTTAGAGTGGTGAGATGGAGTTGCAAAGAATAAGGAATGGGGTTCCCTTGGATTCAATAACTGGGAAGCAAAAGAGCCTAGCAGCTGGCATTTACTGTGCTCCTACTGTATATCTTTAGGAGTCCTGGTGTGGTACTATAGGATACACACTAGACTGCTAACTGCAAGGTCAGCAGTTCAAACCCACCAGTCGTTCTTTGGAAACCCTCTACAGAGTTGATATGAGTCAAAATGACTCTCTAGCACTTAACACCACCAACTATATGTCTTTAAACCTGGCGTAGTGGCTAAGCCCTTGACTACTGAGTGAAAGGTCAGCAGTTCAAACCTACCAGCCACTCTTGTGGAGAAAGCTATGGCAGTCCACTTCCATGAACATTACAATCTTGGAAACCCTCTGGGGCAATTCTACCTTGTGCTGTGTGGTTGCTATGAGTTAGGGTTGGGTTGGGTTGGGTTGGGTTGGATTTGGGGTTATTTGTGTGCCCATTCAGTGGATATGCATGCAGCATCTACTATGTGCTGCTGTTACGGCTGTTGTGTACCACACATTGATTCTAACTCATAGCAACGTCATGTGACAGAACAGAGCTGCCCCATAGGGTATTCTAGCTGTCGTCTTTACTGGAGCAGATTACCAGATCTTTTTTCCTTGCAACTACCGGGTGGAATCAAACCACCAAACTCTTGATTTGTAGCGAGTGCTTAACTGTTGGTGCCACCAGGTCTTGGAGTCCACTTGACAGCAACTAGAAAAGGACAATATGATGATTGTTCGGTGTTTGGGGCATGTTTCATTCCCACTGCCATGTGAGGCCAGAGAAAGCTTATCCTTGGATACAGCTAGGAGTCCCTCCATGGCACAGATGGTTAAGCATTTGACTACTAACTGAAAGATACCCAGAGGTGCCTCGCAAGAAAGACCTGGCATTCTGCTTCCTAACAGTTACAGCCTCGAAAACTCTGTAGAGCCCAGTTAGCTCTGACACACATGGGTCATCATGAGTCTGAATAGATTCTATGGGATCTGGTTTGGTTTGGGGTTTTGGGGACACAGCTGGGTTCAAGTGGAGCTGCGGTCTGTCCCTCACCAACCTGCCTACAGAGCCCAGACATCCCTTGATCTTCCCAAGAGAAATCTTCCTCTCCTCGGCCTTAACCCTTTCCCGCTAAAGTAAAACTCGCTGAGCTGGGAAGTCTGGTGATAAAGAAGCCGTCACAGCAGCACCATTTACCTGTTTGGGTTTATTCAGCAGAAGAGGCAACTGCGTTGCTGGCAGATGGAGACCCGTGTGACTGCCTTTTAAAACACTGTCACAGCTGTATGCTCAGGCTGATTAGCTGTGACTACACCGCCAGCACCGAGATTGATGGCGATAAATTTGGGATAACAATGTTGGGGGCTGTGTCATCCATTTGTAGTGCACTGCAGTTTTTGTTCAAGCTCTCTCCTTCAGCAGCCCAATGGTTACCGAGAACTTGACATTCAGACATTGACGGATTCATTCATTCCTCCAAACAGATTTGAGGGAGTCCATTCAAACTCACTGTGATTCATTCCTTGATTCATTCAGCACATATCCACATAGCTCCTACTTTGTGCCAGTGATGTCCCAGTCCAGCTGGGTTCCTGTCCACCCAAAACTTGTGTCCCAGCGTAGACAAGTTCACTGCATTCGTAGTGATAAGACCGCAAAGCCAATGGTGATGTGATAAAGGTTGGAGGTGCTTCGTTAGATCAGATGGACAGAAAAGACCTCTCTGAGGATGTGGCCTTCTAACTGATGACCGAAGCAGGTCAGCATTGGGCAGATGCAGCACCTAACACCCTAAGCACAGCAAGTGCAAGTCCCAGAGATTGCTGTGTGTTGAGCATTTGTTCACTTAGGGTTTGCCCAGGTCAGTGTTAGGCACTAGGTGTGCCAGAACAAATACGATACTTCACTTGCCCTAATGGAGTGTGGATCAGACAACCTGTATTTCTGTAGTGTGGTAGGCTCAGTGAGGGTGCAATGGGCAGGCTCAGGTCTCCCTCTCTGTGAATGAAAGTGGGGCTGGTTTCTGGGACGATGGGGTGGGGAGGAGCCAAGACTCAGAGCCCCGCATGGTCTCTGGAGGACCCTGATTTTGCTCTCCTTTTGTTTCCACAGGACAAATGACCAGCTGGTGGCATTTCTCTCCCGATATCGCGATATGAATTTCCTGAAATCACACGGCCGGGACAATGCAAGGTACCACATGGTCTCCCTCCCCTGGTACAGAATGGAAATGAACATGGGAGCGGTTATTTAAAGATTCCTTCTAGGCTGGTTTGATGCTGCCAGAGAACTAGAGGATGGAGAAAGGTGTGGTTTGGGTATGTGTTGGGTATTTTCACATAGGATCTTGAAATGATCCTTCTTGTCAGCCCAGGAGAGAGAGGGGAGTTAACAGCCCACACCATGTCATAGTCCTTGATACTTTTTTTCCCAAGTACTTTCATTTATTTTGTCTCATTGTTGTTCTTTTTAAGTGCCTTCCAGTTGATTCCAACTCGGCGACCCTGTATAGGGTTTCCAAGGAGCTGCTGGTGAGTTTGAACTGCTGACTTTGTGGTTCAAACTGACCTTGCGGTTCAATGCTGATCCTATAGTGCCACACCAGGACTTATTTATCTTGTGGCAACCCATATTGGGTTGTTAATTCCCACTTTATTGATGGGAAGACTGAGGCCACAGTTTTAAGTGATGTCCCCAGATCATTCATCCAATCAGTAGCTATTTACTGAATGCTGGCTAGATGTCCTGCACCATCCTGGTGGTGAACAACACAAAGTCCTTCCTTTCTTGGAATTTACTCCCTAGTAGAAAAGCAATCTCATACCTGCATGGACCTAAACTCAGGTACCCTGACTCCCAGCCATGTTAGCCCTCTACTGTCTCATGCCCAACATCTGCAGGGATTTGGAGGCACCCAGAGCCCCCATCTGTATCCTCTGAGTCTTTCCCATTTAGAATGAGCAATGCCAGATAGGATCACAATAGTACAGCTGAGAGCTGAACCCAGATCTCATGGCCCGAGGTGGGCTAGAAAGGGATACAGTATTGAACGCCCCCTGTAGGAGAGATAACAAAATTGTTTTGCCATCTGACATAACCTGTGGCATTGAGTCGATTCCAACTCATAGTGACCCTGCTGGACAAGAGTAGGACTTAGCTATAGTGTATTGGGCTGTGAACCGCAAGGTCAGCAGTTCGAAACTACCAGCTGTTCCGCGGGAGAAAGATGAGGCGTTCTGCTCCTGTAAAGATAAACAGCCTTGGAAACCCTATACAGGGTCGTTATGAGTCGGTTCCGACTCCATGGCACATAACCACCACCGTAGTGTTTCCAAAGATGTCATCTTCACAAGAAAAGAGTGCCTGCTCTTTTTCCTGTGGAGTGGCTGATGTATTCCAACCACTGACCTTTCAGTTAGCAGCCAAGCACTTAACTATCTTGTCACCAGGACTCCTTATTGTCATGTGACGTACCAAACCGAAAAGAAAAAAAAAAAATCCCCGTGCGATGATTCCAACTCACGTGCTCCAGAGTAGACCTGTGTCCCCAGAGTTATCTGGGCTGTCGTCTCACAGAAGTACATCCCCAGGCCTTTTCTTCCACGGTCCCAGTGAGTGGATTCAAACTGTCAACCATTTAGCTAGTAGCCAAGAGCAAACGTTTGTGCACCCAGGGGCCTCAATCCCCTCCATCCATTAAAATCAATCCGGGGTCACACTGAGACCCTGTCTTTGAGCTCAGAGCTCATGGGATACTTTTCACGTGTTGGGTTTGGTTCCTATGTTGTTGTTTTGTTTTGTTTCTAATTTAGGTGTTTTATTTGGAAATGACTTCTTGTTGTTGTTGTGAGGTGCAGTCGAGTGTGTTCTGACTCATAGCAATCCCATGCACAACAGAAGGAAACTACACCTTCCTCACAATTGTGAAAATGAATGTTGCTGTTAGGTGCCATTGAGTCGGTTCCTATTGAAAGCCAGCAAAATTTCCCATGAACACTCAGACTCCCAGATGTTTTTGTTTTGTACCCTGGAGTTGGTTCCGACTCACAGCGACCTTGCATAGGGTTTCCAAGGCTGTAAATCTTTATGGAAGCAGAAATCATCCTCTTTGATTCCCAGCTAGTCTTGAAACATCACAAGTTCCAAGAAATCCATACCCAAGTTTTCTAAGGCAGCTGCCATGTGGATCTCAGGCAAAGCTGGTTCCTTTCCTTCAGGGTCCCTGTGAGTGGTCAGTATGCATCTTGCTGAATTTCCTGTCAGCCATTGCTGGTGGAAATGGCACTTTGGCTGGCTCTGTGACTCTGTTTACCCATTCATCCACAGCTGGGGAGGGACAAAAGCCAACAGTGAGCTTTATGTATTTCTCGAGCTTTCAAGAAGTAACCCCTAAATTCTTGTGTTGTATAATTTTCCTCAATTTTAATTCCGATTGTCATTCAGTGCACCATTTATAGATTTTTTTTTTTTTCTGTCCCACCCAAAGCCTAAATTCTTTACATTTAAAAAGAGCTCCTGGCTTGAAACAGCTTTGTATATTAGCACAGATTATAATGGGGCATTTAGGCCCCCAAGAGCGGAGAGGCCTGGACGGGTTACTAAGAGGCAGTTTTGTCACTGTACCTTGTGGTCTTGCTATGTTGGACACTTTTCCTAAGGGATCAAATCCACCCTTACAGCCACTCAATGCAAAAGTAAGAAGGATACTCCCATTTGTCCTAACATGGGATGGGAGCTTTGGGAATTTAAATGGTTTTCCCAAGGCTACAGAGCAGGTGAGTGCTTGAACTTGAACCCAGGTCTTTCTAGGTCTGGGCAAGATTCCATGAAGGTGCTTAGTCACCTGAGCTGGTCTGGATACTGGTGTTCATCCCTGAAGTGGAGAATGAAGACCTATCTTCCCCTTCAAGTAACCTTGTGCTAGTAAACTTGTATCATGAGAAAGGAGCATATTCTTAGTGGAGAAACTTGTGTCTGAATCACTACTATTGTTGTCGCAGCCTCAAAACTCACTGCCCCAGAGCCCATTCCAACTCACAGTGACCGGTATAGGAATTCCCAGACTGCAGATCTTTTTTTTTTTTTTTTGGTGTTTTATTGTGAGTTAATGTGATAGTTTACATGGAAGAACATTAGCTTTACATTCATCCTATCTTATATCATTACATTGCCATAGTTATAATCCCCTCCATGCATCATCAACCAACCAAAGGGTATATCCCACAAGCCTGCTCCCTGGCGTCAGCACACAGCCCCTCTCCCTCTCTGGGTCTAGAGTTCCTAGCCGCTCCATCTCTCTACATCATCGTCTCTGCCTCCATCTCTGGTGTCACTGTTTCTCTGGGTAGGGTCCCACTCTCCGCTTTTCCGCTTTTCTCCCGTGATGGTCCCAGAGACCTCCGCTCCTAGACTGCAAAGTCAACCACGCCCCTCCTTTTGTTATATAACTTCTACCTTTACATTTCCAACCCTCACAGTCAGAGACTGCAGATCTTGACAGCACTTAATAACAACCTTATCTGCATAGGAGGAGACAGCAGCCTCATCTTTCTCTCACAGAGCAGCTGGTGGGTTTGAACCTCTAGCATTGTGGTTAGCAGCCCAACACCTAACCCCCAGTGATACCAGGGCTCCTTTGTTTTCAGCCTGTTGTTGTTAAGTGCTGTCGAGTCAGTTCCGACCCATAGTGAACCCTGTATAGGGCTTCCAAGGAGCGGCCAGTGGGTTTGAACTGCCGACCTTGCAGTTAGCACTCCAGTGTTTCCTATGACACCATGCCAGTCATTATTTATTCTCTGGGCTAAGTGTTTGGCTGCTAACCGAAAGCTTGGCATTTGAAGCCCACCAGCTGTGGTAGCGTAGTGCTTACAAATCAGGCTGTGAACCTCAAGGTCAGCAGTTCGAAACTAACAGTGGTTCCGCAGGAGAAAGAGAGGTGTTCTGCTCCCATAAAGATTTACAGCCTTGAAAACCCTGTACAGGGTCGCTATGAGTCGGAACTGACTCCACGGCACGTAACCACCACCACCAGCAGTAGCTTCCAGAAAGAAAGATGTAACGATCTGACTCCATAAAGATCTACAGCCTCAGAAACCCTGTGGGGCATGGGCAGTGTTACTCCAGCCGACAGCGCTGCTATGAGTCTGAATTGACTGAATGTCAGGTTTTGGGGTGCACTGTTTAAAAGAATCCTTACTGGCACACTGGTTAAAGTATTCAACTACCAACTGAAAGGTCAGTGGTTCACACCCACCAGCCACTCTGCAGAAGAAGTTGTGGAAACAAGCTTACATACAGACTGACAGCTTTAGAAACCCGATGGGGTAGTTCTTGTTGATGTTAGGTGCCATCGAGTCAGTACTGACCCATAGTGACACTATGCACAACAGAACGAAACACTGCCCAATCCTGGGCCAACCTCACTACTGTTGCCACGCTTGAGCCCATCAATGCTGCCACTTGGCCAATCCATCTCATTGGGGGGTCTTCTCTTTCCTAACCCTCCACCTTACCAAACATGATATCCATCTCCAGCGACTGCTCCCTCCTGACAATATGTCTGAAGTATGAGAGACGAAGCTTGGCCATCTTGGCCTCCAAGGAGCACTCTGGCTGTACTTCTTCCAAAACAGATCTATTGGTTCTTTTGGCAGTCCATGGCACTTTCAATATTCTCCTCCAACACCATAACTCAAAGGCATCAATTCTTGTACGGTCTTCCTTATTCACTGTCCAGCTTTTGCATGCATTTGAGGTTATTGAAAATACCATGGCTTGGGTCAGGTGCACCTTAGTCCTCAAGCTGACATCTTTGCTTGTCAACACTTTAAAAGGGTCTTGTGCAGCAGATGTGCCTAATGCAATACGTCGTTTGATTTCTTGGCTGCTGCTTCTGTGGGTAGTTCTACTTCATACTATATGGTCGCTATGAGTCAGCGTCAACTCGAAAGCAATGGGTTGGGTTGAGTTTGGTGCTAGCAAGTGGGAATAGCACATAGCAGGAGAACATGGGCTTTGTGGGTACACTGCCGGGGCAGTCAACCTGTGCTGGCTGTGTTAGATTGCATAAGTTACTTGGCCTCTCTGATCCTGTCCCCTTACCAGTGCTACAGATGTATTCATGATCCTGCACTCATAGCGTTGTTGAAAGGATTGTGTGAGGTACTGCACATAGAAGATTTGGCAGGTAGAAA